AATCCTAACAACTATTTACATTATTAATCACTCAAAAAAAGAGTTACTGATAAATGGTAAAGGAACGAGTGAAATATATTCGATTTATGAATATTTACCCCCAAAAAATGTTACCAGATCGTCTCACGAGCCAAATCCCAACCACTAAAACATGTGTTGTCTAACTGTTGGGTGTGGACTAGTATACTTGGAGATAAAGAGGCATGAAGTCCATCAGGCCCGCAAAAATGCATTTTAAAAAAAGGAAGATAAAATAAAAAATAATCAACAAATAATTAAAAAAAATTGCCATATAAAATAGTACATTCCAATTTTCCCTCTCTTCCGAAGTTACTGTGATAAAAAAGTAGATGCAAATTGCATGTCCTCACACCCATTAAAAAGCAATTGAAATTAATCAAACTCATTACAGGATTAACTACCAGAAAGGATCCTCCTGTGGATGGTTTAATAAATTACTTAGTCTCAACAAAAGCTCGCTCTTTGAAAGGGTTCGGCATCAGACGTTCCTTGTAGCGAACTGTTAAATAACATCACAGATTCACAAATCGTTCAAATTCATCCAATTTTGGAAGCAACTGAAAATACGAATAGGTATATCTACAGACCTAGATATATATAGCAGTAGGGATGTATACATATATATATATGTAGGGATGTATATATGCAGATATAAATCAGAAGACACGGTTATATAGTACATGTTTGTATGTATAATATATAAAGGGACAGAAAGCAACTTATCGAAGTCGAAGATACAAAATTGTTAAATCCCTTTCTTGATCTCTCAATTTTCTGACAGTCTCCAACCTCTGTCCTCTCCGGCGAGTCAAGGTTAGTAGGGTGCGACAGGAGGAAACCCTAACTTATTTGCCGACCCCCATTGCCGATAGTGGGTGAGGCGTGAGATTACCAAAGGAACCCTTATTTATTGCCTTTGGTGGGTGAGGCGGTGGTGTGAAAGAAATCCACAGTTGGTAACGCGTGCTCCTAACGCTTTTTTTTCCAACACATCTTATTGAGGCATATGGGCAGCGCCGCAGCACTCTACTACTTTTCATACAAGTGTATGTTTGCTAAAAATTAAAATAAAAAAAAAAAAGAGAAAGAAAGAAGTAATAACTAATAAGAAATATATATTTTTGAACCAATTTAAAAATAAATGTTAAAAGTAGGATTTCTTTGCCCAAGTAAAAAAATATGTACAACTTAATTATCTTTAGGGTTTAAAAGTATGACTAAGTTGGAATTTTCCCAAAAATGTAAGGGTATTATAAAAGTTTTTACATTGTTGTACGAGTTTTTTTTCTTATAATTTAACACTTCCAAATTCATGTTCCAACATCTTCTTATCATTTTTCTTTCCTTTATTTTCTCACCATTCAACCCAACCAAAAAAAAAAAAAAAGCAAAATCTATACCTTATGAATATCTCATTCATTTATTCTTCAGTCCATTTTAGGGCCCTTTGTTTTAGGCATTTTGTTTTTGACTAAAAGAGAAATAATATTTTTGTTGTAAGAGTGTTTTGAAAAACTAAAAATATTTTTGTTGTCAAAATCAACACTGTAATAGCAATAGCAAAACGCATACCAAAAGGAGGCCTTAGCCTAAAAATATTCTGGCTAATTATTCAATTTCTCCGTACAAGGCTCTTTAACTTTGATATTCTGACTCATAATTTTACTCCATTGGCATCTTACACTTCCTCTTCGATTTAGAGCGATAAAAAAACTTTAAAAAAAAAAAGAAGGAAAAAGTGAAAAAAAAATTGACATTATCAAAGAACCCAAAGATGTTAAATGGGTTCTTATATGATTCAACACTAATATCGCATTCTTGATCACTAACCCAGAAATTAACAACCACACAAGAAACGTAAGTTAGGGAGAACACAAATTCCTCAATTTTGTTCTATATCTCACACACACATATATAACTATATATAATTTGCTATGATTATTCATAATCAATTGTAGACAAAAAGATATGTTTACATGGGGGTTTCCATACAATGATTTATTCAGGCAACAGAAAAAACCTCTCCATTCTCCCCAAACAGAGGGGGAGTGATTTGAGTAGATAAAGTCTGGAAGGTGATTTTTTCTCAACCATTAATGGCATGTTTGGTTGGAGGAAGGATTGAGGAAGGATAGATGAGAGGAGAAATAAAAGAATTTTTTAGTATTTGGTTGGAAAGAAGAGAAAAGACCATAAAATAAGGATCATTTCTCACCATTTACTGAAAAATAGTATCTTTGTATTTTTCTAGCCATCCAAAACTGAGAAAGAGGAAAAAGAAATAAGAGATAATAACCAACAAATATGTAATTCTTATTTTTAATCTTCCAAAAATTTGGAATAGATATGTAAAAAAAATATAAAGCCCTCTTTTAAAAAAGAAAAAAGAAAAAAGTATTACACCTTTCATCATAAACAAAAAGCCACAGGGAGATGCATTCCCTTTTCTAAGGATGCCTTATCCTTTCCTGTCCCCGTTCTTCTCCCTCTACCTTCCATTTATTTTTCCATCTATCTAACCAAATTGAGCATAACTCTGATTTGATGGATAGGTGGAAACACGGGTGCTTGAATGAATGAGGAGTTAATTATCAAACAACTGATACCAAAAAACCAAATATTATTTATATTTGAAAGATTTTACTTTATCTTAGTACGGTATTAATGGAGCAAAATCATTAATAAACCATTTTGTAAAATTTAAAGCGACAAGAATAGGAACAACGATAACACACGCTCCAGCCGAATTAGAAATTCTGAATTACTAAACATCAAATTTATTTTACAATGAACCAAACATGATTGGTAATAATAGTTTGAACACCAAAACAAAACTGAATAGGAAAAGAAACGGTTGCATGTACCTTGAGATACATACCTCCAATTATTTTCTCACATGGAGACACGTGTGTCTAATTATTTCTCTGGTAAAATAACTTTCGAAACATTGTCAACAACAAAGTAGTAGCAAGGGGTGACGCACACATCAACCAAATGAAACCATGTCTGTCTCCGGTAAGGGTTGATGAAAAAAACAGCTGCAAATAGTGATGTAAATAAGATAGTTATGTAGGACACTGTAAAGCTCACATAGAAAAATTCCATGCATGTCCATGAAGCCACAATCTACGTCACTGCAATTCATGATGACTCTCGGCTCAATGGCAGTACAACTTCTTGAAAGTGGTGGTCCACAAAGAAATGGATTCCCAATGTAGCTACTGCTACCAAATGTATCAAACTCAGGAAATTTGACTCCGTGGTATGCTGCACGATAGGTTGTTGGAGGACACATTAAACTCGGCCAAAAAGTATAGCTTTGTAAGCTGTGAAGGAATTTTTCCTTTCAAGTTGTTATCATATACAGTGTCTTGAGTGATGGAAGTCCTTGCAGAAATGACCAAATGTCATTGTTGGAGTGTTATAACTCAAATCAAGGGTCTCTATGTTGTTCAGAATTGGAGCACTCTCCAAACCTGTAACATTAACAGGGTTAATGCAAGTTACAACTTTTGAACACTTCATAGGAAAAATAAATAAATAACTTTATTTTTAGGCTTATTTTCGAGTATTAGCATCCGTTCGAAATTAGTTTCATTATGTTGTAAGGATTCGTGTTGCAGTTAGTTTCCTTGTGTATTGATTATGATTTTCTTTCATCATAAATATGTGCAATATCATTCATTCAATTATCAATACAAATATCAGACTTCTCTAAAATTATTTTTTGTCTTGTGGATTTAAAATACCATATATGTGGATTCAAAGTAAATCGTTCCTTGTGAATAAATTTATCACTTCTGCTGACGTCATGGCTCCATTTCAAGAAACTGCATTTGCGAATTTACAGGCTTCAAAGATTCCTATCATCTTTATAGTTTTAAATAATTATATAAAAAAGTAAAAATGATAAGTGTACATTATTTAAAACTAAACTTTGTCAGCAAGTCTTTGCTTTTTTGTTAATTGTACAGGAAATCCAAAATGTTGTACAAAAGGTAAATTTTAAGAAGCAACTTCACTGAAATAGACTACTTGTTAAGCAATAATGACTTCCCCTTTGGCTCTTATATATATTTGACTTAGATAAAAAAGCAGAATCAAATCAAATATTAACAAGATACCCAGAGCGAGAGAGAGAGATAGAAACACAGGATTTATGGTGATCATTCCAAATATTTACATAGCGATTGGATCATCAATTAGTTCTCTATTCATATTTCGTATTGCCTAACTACATGGCCCAGCCCTCCAACTCCAACAAAAGTGGGCAAAGAAGAAAAGAGCCATCATAAGTTGACTTTTCTAGAAGTCCATGAAAAAAATTGGGTTGATACCCCTGCAATCTTATAATTTCTTACCCCCCCTCCCCCCTTTTTAATTTTATTTCATAAAAACTAGCTCCATAATCACAACTCATTCTTCAATAGTTTTACTAGTAATTTTGAGACACAAGCAATTTGTTTTTTCTCTCTCATATTCTTGTATAATCATCATCATCAATAAACAAAACTTGTTGCTTCTTTGTATTTGAGTCCATATGTATAAGAGAGAATTACTGCATTGAGTTTGTGCAACTTCATTGGAATTGGTCAATTTGGAATCCAAAAATTCCTTCCATTAATTATGTCACTGTCCCCACCCAATTTAATTGGAAGCTTGCATGGCTAGCTGGTTAGTTATCATTTCCACTTAGTTTTACTGTGGTGGCACATATTTTAGCATGTTTGGTTATTATTTCCACTTCGTTCCATGGGTTTTCAGGAGTTTAAGAAAGAAGTGGATAGATTTTCAAGTCTATGTACTTCAAAGCTTTTGGCTTTCCCCCTAATTATTTAGTGCACATTAATAGATCAGAATCATCAGAAACCTATTAATTGATCAAAAACCCAAAGGCTGACAGCTTCTATACTAAAACATCAAACTTTATTTACAACAACAACAAGAGATTTATTTAGGTTGATTTCCAAAGCCTGAAAAAAAAAAAAAAAAAAAAAAAAAAAAAATAGGACCTTAATGCCTTAAATTGTCCACAACAAAGTAGTAGCAAGAGGTGATGTACACTTCAACCAAATAGAACCATGTCTGTCTCCAGTAAGGATTGATGTACAGAACTGCTGCAATTGCTAATAAGACGGTTACATAAGACGCTGCAAAACTTGCATAGAAGGTGCCCATGTCAATGAAACCATCATCAGCTTCGCTGCCATTTGTTGCCATTCCAGGTTGGGTGACAGTGCAATTTCTTGGTAGGGGCTCTCCACAAAGAAGCCGATTTCCTGCATAACTGTCTTCTTCAAAAGTTCCAAACTGAGAGATTCTCGGAGGTGTACTGCCGGATAAGTTGTTGTATGACACATTGAAGACAGCCAAAGCTGTTAGCATAGTAAGCTGAGAAGGGATTTCCCCATTCAAGTTATTGTTGGAAAGATCCAAGCTCTCTATGCTCTCTAATTTCCAAAATGTTGATGGGATCACTCCGTTTAGGCTATTATGGGACAGGTTCAGAAATTGGATTCGGCTTAGGTTCCCAATTTCAAGTGGTATGTGGCCAGTTAATCTGTTAGCCGAGAGATCTATTCCTGAGATAAGGTCCAGAACGATTCCCTTGTAAGTGAGTAATATTCCTTTTGTTCTGAGCATTAATTGTGCTTGTGGATAGAGTGACTTGGTCAAATCCGTAAATTCATCCTCCTTGGGTAAGGACATATTCCAATCAAGCAACTCTGATGATGTGTAATGTAAAACCGAGAAAGCTATCGGAAGAACCGGGAAAGCAACAATACTTGATCCCTCAAATGAGATGTTATTCAGACAAGGAGGAATGCCGCCAGAAAGATTATTAGAAGAGAGATCAATCAATCTTAATCGGACCAGCTGGCATAACGAAATGGGAACATTACCTTCAAAATGATTGTTTTTTAGTTGAAGAACTATCAACTGGGAAAGGTTTCCAATACAGTCTGGGATACCACCAGTCAAGCGGTTATCGTTGAGGTTTAACATCCCTAGAGAGCTGCTACTACAAAATGCATGCGATAGTGTTCCTTGTAGCCCATTTTTAGACAACTGAAGAACTCGGATATTCGGGCTGTTCAAGCAAGAAGGTAAAGTCCCATTGATATTGTTCTCCGAAAGGTCCAAATACCAAAGCCACTTAATCCAACACAACTCTGTTAGAATGGGACCTTCAAGATAATTATTTGACAAGGCGAGTACACCTAACTCACTCATATTCCCCATCCACCCAGGAATTCCACCTGATATGTTGTTATGAGTCATATACAAATATTGTAAAGAAGAGCAGTTAGAAATGCTTTCGGGGATCTCTGTTAACTGATTATGGTCCAACTCTAAAATTATCAAGGCAGTTAGGTTATGACTGGTCGGTAATATTGGGTCTTGCAAATAGTTATTTGATAGTTTCAAGAATTGCAAGGAGAAACAACCCATGGCCAAGTGCCGGGGTATTGTACCAGACAATTGATTATTGGACAACCCTAGAAACCATAGAGAGGACAAATCACCTATTGAAGAGGGAATACTATCGCTGAAACGATTTCCAGACATGTTTAAGAATCTTAAACTTGGAAAAACTGTACCAATGCTGTCTGGGATAGGGCCGCTGAGGAAATTGTTGGAGATATCCAATTCCAAAAGTGTAAAGTTGGGATGTGATGGTAGATTCAGAGGTCCACTGAAAGAATTATATGGTAGGAAAAGTCTAACCAATCTTGTATTATTCTCCAACAACCAACTTGGAAACTTCCCCTTAAAGTTTATTTGAGATAGCTGAACTTGTTGGAGGTCCTTTTGGTAGTAAAGAAAGTTAGGAAAGGTTCCAGAAGTAGTAGTAGTGGTACCGACATTGCCAAATTCATGATCAGATAAATGGATGCCAATTAGTTGAAAACTTGGGGCCAAGCTTTGAAACTCTTCTTCTACTACGAATTTGTTATTAAGGCTGTTAATGACCTTCAATTTTGAGTGGTTGAAAAATGACCCAAAGGTAATCGGGATCTCAAAGTAGTTCCGTGAAAGAGCAAGGTATACAAGAGAGGTAAGATGGACCAATGGAGATGAAGCAATATTCCCAGTTAAATGATTGGAAGATAGATCCAAAAGCCGGAGCGATGTCAAGTTTGCCATGCATTGAGGCAACTCACCCCTGATTTCATTACGATGAAGGTCAAGCTGTTGAAGATACTCCAATGCACATAGCCCTAAACAAGATTAAATTAATTGATTGGAATTAACTTTGCAGAATTAAAATTTTCATCTGGCAAAACAAAAAGAACATATATATAAATGTGTGTGTGTGAGAGAGAGTAATTCTTCTATACATATACACACACACACACACGCTATGAAATGTTCTATTCTATTCTTTACCTGGAACAGGTATGGTGCCCGTTAGTCCACAATTTGATAGGGTCAATACTTTAAGAGAAGTCATCACTTGAATGCTTGAAAGGAAGCCATTGTTGAGAATAGTAAAATCCAAGAACAAGTTTTCCATATTTGTAAGGTTTTGCAAGTCTGTAAACGTGGAGGAGCATAAGAAGATGCATTGGAGTACTGAAAGAAACTCAAATATATAAAGTGTTGAACTAAAGAAAATGTTATGATGAGGCCATCCTTAGTTGAGTTTGTGCCCTTATTATCATTGGATCGCCAAATCGTTACAGTAAATACTAAAATTCATAGGCTTACCTTTACTGGACATTGTTACAATACTCCGCATATCTTCCATACGGAGAGTCTTGAGTGATGGTAGTCTTTGCAAAAATGACCAGTTGCCATTGTTGAAGGGATTGTAACTCAAATCAAGGATCTCAATATTGCTCAAACTTGGAGCTGTCTCTAAACCTGTAAAATTAAGAAATGATAATGCAAGCAAGTTAGAACTTTTTGAGCCCTTCATAGGAAAAAAAACCATTTATTGGTGCTAATTACTTTAGAGGCTAATGCGCGCGGCTTATCTTGCTCTATAGTACCCCTAATATATTGGTTTATTTGAAATTGTTTGGAAAAGAGACTCTATTTCTAGTATATGTTAATGCTGGTAGAAGCAACAAAGAGGTGCCTTGGTGTGGTCGGGATGGCAACGGGCAGAGTTGGCTAAATATACTCCACTCCGTTAGAAATTCGTCATATCAACTTTGCCCCTACTTTATGATAGGTTTGTAATTGGTATACCATTTCTGTCCCTACTCCGGCAAATAAAGTACTAACTGCACTCCGCATACTCTATTTAATTGTGGGGCGAGGCGAGTTATGCTACTTTATTATGTAGTAAAAAAAAATTAGCCCAATGTGATGAGTGATGAAAGGCGGTATTGCAGGTGTAATGTTTCTCAATTTTTTCATTTTTGGATATTTTTTTATTTTTAAAATTTATTTATTAGCAGGGCAGGCTCATCACTAAATCTTCCCCTACTCCAAACCTGTTTTGATTTTCAATTACTTTATCATACCCCCCAAACCCATTTTAAGGGATACCAAATTTATCCTATTAGGGAAAGGGCAGGCGAAAACCCACCACGTTCGGGGGTATATCTTGAATTTAATTAAGAGGACTCTATTGGGATTCAGAGTGTAATGTTGTGATATATATATATATATATATAATGCTAAAAGAAAAAGAAATAAAGCAAGTGGGCCCCACCCATGTTTTAAAACACACAAAAAGTGTATAAGGCATTACATGACCCACGACCTAACTGTTTTCTCTTTCTTTCTCTGCTGCATCTTTCCTCTCTCGGCATCTCACTACTTCTTTTTCTTTTTGCAATCTCAAAGCTTGATCTAGCTTTAAACTTTTGGATTTTGGTAGAGCATTGTGAAGCAAAGTTGGAGAGCTCGTCAAGGCCTTCAATTTGATAGGAGCCAATCATCATTTGGTGCACTCTAGGGAGTTCAAAATTCTAGGGTTCTTGGGCTTGGATTTGGGGATTTTGAGAGTTTTCACTTCCATTAAGGTAGGGGTGTTCTAATTTACAATTTCTTAGTTTTTTTTGTGAATTTTTCCCCTTAAATTTGATCTTATGCATGCTAATTTTGATTATCTAGTTTGTGGTTGAAGTATGTTTAATTAAAATGCTAAATGTGTTCCATGTGTTATTTGAATTCATATATATGACTAGATTTATTACGGTGATTGAGCATGTTTGGTGTTGACATATTGTATGTCCTAAGATTATGTATTTTTTATTTATTTATTGCTTTGAAAGAAAATGATGCTATGGTCAATAAATAAATAAAAGAAATGATTGCTTAGAAATTTCTATTAAATTGTGATAATGATGTAAATGAAATGTGTGAGAGCCTATGGTTGAATTGATAAATTGAAACATGCACATTCATGCATTCATTGGGAAAGAGAAAGGAAAAATATATATATATATATATATATATATATATATATATATATATATTTTTTTTTTTGAACAAACGAAATTATTTTGGGGAAAATATTTTTTTAAAGGAGTTTGCGAAAACCGGACGCCTAGTGGTCCGTGGTGTTAGTGTAGTCTAGAAGGGATCATGGTTGAGTTAACTAGGCCGGATGCGACGCCTTGGAGGTGGATAGTTAGTCAACTCTCCATTCGTGACGCCTTGGAGGTGCCTTGGGTCGGATTACACTAACGGTTTTGGAAGTTGAAACGGAAATGTTTCGGAAAATGAGGAGTAACGTTTGCATATTGCACTTCATGACATTGTGGTAAACTTGTGATTGGGTGGTATTTGTTACATACTTGTTATTGTATTTGAAAGTGCGTGTTTCCTTATAGCATGATCCCTTTCACTTTTAATCTATTCCTTGTATAGATTCACGGGAATATAAGAAGTGTGTCTTAGACACTTCCTACTGAGCTTATGCTCACCCCATTATTTCTAACATTTTTCAGGACATGGAAAAGAGGTGGCGGACGACGATCCACCACGATTTTAGACGAGCACGGAGACCTATTTTATTTTTTTTGCTTTCTTTTGTATTAAAACTCTCTAATATTTTGTAAATGTAATATTAACTAACTCGTAAAACTTTAGTTTAATTAGTATAATGTTGTAAGCCATGGACTTTTAAATTCTAACTACGCTTTTTGGACTGTAACTTGATATAACCAACGTATGTTCCTTGTTGGATGAGATGGAGGAATGGGATTTTGTATGTATGTAGTCACTTTGGAGATATGATATAATATATGTATATTGCGTTGGGACAGGATATGTTAGATTTAAGGCCCAGGGAGGCCATTGTAATTATTTTTTTGTATTTCAACAGGTTGTTTAGAGACATTTTCTGCGGAGGTCATGCCGAAATTTTTTATAGATTTTTATTATTATTTTGGTATCCTATTTGGGTCGTTACAAATTTGGTATCGGAGCAATGGTTCGAATACCATAAGGACGACGGGTAGAGGCCTACCTAGGATTCCATGGGGAGTTGAGTTATTTGCTTACTTGCTTAATTGTTTACGTGATGGCATGCTTATATGCTTATGTGTTAAGGTGCTGTATATGATTAGCATGATCATGTTTATCATTAGTTGGGTATTCTGGGACTATGAAAGGTGCTTATGTGTTTCCATTCTTGTCAAGTCATTCGTGTGAGGACTTCGTTCTCGTGCGTATTTTAGTGTCATCGTTTTTTATCTGTTTCCTTTTTCTTATAGCGTCATGGCAACACGAAGGGATCCCGGGGAAAGTTCTAGCTCCAATCCCGTGGAAAGGGATCAGGAGCAAGTTGAGGAAGATATCTTGTTGCGTGATTTGGTCCCACCAAGAGGGGGACAAGCGAGGGGGACTGTTGATCCACCTTTTCAGATGAATAGGGATCAAATTAGGTTAGCCATTCAAGAGGCTATTTTTGATGCATATCAACCGACAGGCGCGTCATCGTCACAGTTTGTGCCACCACCGGCTCCACCACCACCTCCGAAGACAAATGAACTAGATGATACTCTTTCTCACATTGCCAGGTTCGTGAAGTTGATGCCAACCTTGTTTGAGGGTGGTCCAGATCCGCTTGTTGCGGACAGTTTCCTGGATAGGGTGGAGAAGCATATTAATGCCATGAATTTGGCAACGGACAAGTTGAAAATCACGTTGGCGACTTACAATTTTGTGGGCGATGCTGAGATTTGGTGGAAGACCGTTTCTCACACCCATAATCTGGATACTATGACATATGCTACATTCAAGAAGTTGTATTATGAGAAGTACTTTCCAGCGCCAAAGCGGAGGGAACTAAAGAAGGAGTTTGATGGGTTAAAGCAAGGAAGTATGACAGTTACAGAGTATGAAAACAAGTTTACATCACTTTTGAGGTTTGCACCGAGAATTGCTAATGATGAAGAAGGAAAGATAGAGAAATTTGTTGATGGCCTTGATCTTACCATTAGGCCAATTGTAGCTGCTTCAGAACCGACAGAGTATGCAAAAGCAGTGCGAAAGGCTTTAGTGGTTAAGGCTGAGAGTAAGGACAACAAGGCTATCAGGGAATCCTACAAGCACAACAGGGGTATGAGTACTTTCTCCGAAGGTCAATCAAGTAAGAAGCAGAAGCATGAGCAGTCAGGGTTCAGGGGACAGCAGCCAGTTAGATCTGCACGCACAGCTTCAGTGTCCATGGGGTCTTCTAGACCGAATGTTACTTGTTTCAGATGCGGGCAGTTGGGACATTACAAGTCCCAATGCACTCAGACACAGGTAGCTCGGATGATTTGTTTCAAGTGTGGGCAGCCAGGGCATCACAAGTCCCAGTGTACTCAGATTCAGGTGGCGTCTGGTGGATGTTTCGGGTGTGGCCAGCAGGGCCATAGGGTGAAAGATTGTCCACAGCGGGGTAGTGGTTTGGGCAGAGGTGGAGGTTCACAGCAGAGGCAGATGCAGTCTGCCACAGTTCAGTCAGGGTTTCGACCACCACCACTACCTCAGCCGTCTCAGCCAGCTATGTCAGCCCAGAGTTCTCGACCTGGTAGGGGAGCTTCTTCGAGTGCACCTACTCAGCAGTCTGGCTATCAGGTAGGCAGTTCCCAGGGGCAGAGGACCCAGGGTCGCGTGTTTGCACTCACTCCAGCCGAGTCACCATCCAGTCCTTCAATTGTTAGGGGTATGTTTCTTGTGTCCCATTCTTGGGCTCGTGTATTGTTTGATTCTGGTGCTTCTTATTCATTCATTGCTTCATCATTTGCATGGGCATTGGGTTTAGAGGTCAGTCAGTTAGACAGACCGCTTTGTGTTGACACGCCTATCGGGGGTTCAGTTGCTCTTAGTAGAGTTTGTAGGAGTTGTTCCATCACAATTGCCGGACGTGTTCTTGAGTTCGATCTCATCCTTCTCAAGATGACGGGATTTGATGTCATTCTTGGGATGGACTGGTTGTCATCCTTCAGAGCTATCATTGATTGTTTCAGGGGTAGAGTTTCAGTGTGTACCCCGGATGGGGATTGTTTCTGTTTTGTGAGAGATCGGTGTGATCCTCTCACTCATTCATTTTATGGTGTTAGGGGTCGAGATCGGTAGACATTCTTCTTGGCTAGTCTTTTCGCCGATGATGACGTTGAGTTTTATGGGGTTGATTATCCAGCAGTTGTGCGTGATTTTCTGGATGTGTTTCCGGAGGACTTGACTGAGTTGCCTCCACACCGAGAGGTGGAATTTGCTATTGATTTGATGCCTAGTACCGCACTAATCTCTATGGCACCGTATCGTATGGCACCGATTGAATTAGAAGAATTGAAGAAGCAACTTGATGATTTGAGAATGAAAGGCTTTATCCGACCGAGTGTGTCACCGTGGGGTGCACCGGTCTTGTTCGCTAAGAAGAAAGATGGTTCTTTGAGGTTGTGCATTGATTACCG